GTAAACATTAGCATCTTAGGAGACTATTGTCATGTTTAAGAAGATGCCAGATGATGGTGGCTGGTGCCAAGATGGTAGTAGTGGAGGTGCTGAGTGGTTATAGATTCTACATATACTTTGAATTTGGAGCCAACAGTATTTGCTGGTAGATTGGACATAGGATATAGGAAAAATAAAAGGAATCCTGTGTGTGTGTGTGTGTGTGTGTGTGTGTGTAATTGTATGAACAAAAAAAATTAGGAACAGCATACAGAAGAAAGAACATGCACTTTTAGATGCTTTTGAGATATGTAGGTAGAGATATGTAAGTACTGACTAAGTGAAACAGGATCTCAGAAGAATGATCTGGGCTATTTTTATAGAATATGTATATTCTCCGGGCGCCTGGGTGGCGCAGTCAGTTAAGCGTCCGACTTCAGCCAGGTCACGATCTCGCGGTCCGTGAGTTCAGCCCCGTCAGGCTCTGGGCTGATGGCTCGGAGCCTGGAGCCTGTTTCCATTTGTGTCTCCTCTCTGCCCTCCCGTTCATGCTCTGTCTCTCTCTGTCCCAAAAATAAATAAACGTTGAAAAAGAAAAATTAAAAAAAAAAAAAAGAATATGTATATTCTCTACATATATATGAATAAATTTTGGAGTCTTCACCATAAAGGTAATATTTAAAGTTTCAGAAATGGTTATCACATTACCGGGAATACAGTTTAGAGACAAGAGAAGGCCTAGAATGTAGTCCTTTTAAAGTTGGGGGGGATGTCTGGCTGGCTCAGTTGGTGGATCATGTGACTCTTGATCTCAGGGTAGTGTGTTTGAGCCCCATGTTGGGTGTAGAGATTACTTTAAGATAAAATCCTAAAAAAAAAACAGAGCAAAAAACCACCACAAAGGAGGTTAAGAAAGAAACTGAACAAGTGAATGGCAGAGAAGCTGAGGGAAGAGACTATTTCAGTGAGAAGTAGTGGACTATGTTAGATGCTGCTGAGAGGTTGGTAAAATGAACTAAAAAGTGACCATTGGGGGCACCTGGGTGGCTCAGTCAGTTAAACATCTGACTTTGGTTCAGGTCATGATCTCATGGCTTGTGGGTTCAAGCTCCGCGTCGGGCTCTGTGCTGATAGCTCTGAGCCTGGTACTTGCTTTGCATTCTGTGTCTCCTTCTCTCTCTGCCCCTCCCCCGCTCACACTCTATCTCTCTCTTAAGATAAATAAAGGTAATAAATTAAAAAAAAAGTGGCCATTGAATTTGGCAATATGTAAGTTATTGATGTCTTTTGTAGAGGGTCTTCAGTGGAAAGAAGGTAGAACTTTGGCTGCAAAGCCTGTTGAAGCTGATAGGGTTTGCATTGAAAGTAGCAGTTGGTCAGAAGTTGGTCAGATGTAGAGGCTTGATGCTATGGTAATTCAAAGAAGGTTTATCTAGAATAATTTCTTTGCAACAGCTGTTGCTTTTTCCTTAGGTATTGTGAATTAACTTTATATATATTAAATCATTTAATTCTTAGAGTTTTTATGAAGACTAAATGAGTTAATATATAAAATGCTTAGTGTATGGCACACACATAAAGATTAACATAAATCCTAAGAAAGAAAAGGATTGTCAAAGTCCTAAGCAAGCTTAAAAGTAAATAACAAAAAAACCTCATACAACATTCAATTATTAACCAGTTGCTTTGTGCAAGTCTATATACTTTATATTCAATTCATTTTAGATATGAAGAAATTAAAGCTTAAAAAGATTAACTGTCACGGTTTCACATAACCCAGAAAATTAAGTGGCCCACCCTCAAAGATCATGTAATTATTCTGTGTATTCTACTACCTCCCAAGCACAGAGATACTGGGATCAGCTTTGTGATTGACTATAGGGTATATTCTATAGTTAGACTTGGAGAATTAAAAAAAAATTTTTTTTTAACATTTATTTATTTTAGGGAGAGACCACAAACAGGGGAAAGGCAGAGAGAGAAGGAGGGACAGAGGATCCAAATTGGGCTCTGCACTGACAGCAGAGAGCCCGATGCAGGGCTTGAACTCACAGACTGTGAGATCCTGACCTGAGCCCAAGTCAGACATCTAACAGACTGAGCCCCCAGGTGCCCCTAACCTTGGAGAATTTACAAGTATCTTAGATTCAGGGACAGAATGCTATGGCCTGCATTAAGAAAGTGCCTTTAGTGAACAAAAAGAAAAGGAAATATTTATGAAATCAGTGGGAGCTCTACAATTCTGTGATTCTGACTTAGAAAGTAAAGGTGAATAACAGGCATCATGCATGAATTGAAGTACTGGTTAAAAGGGATTCAGGTAATGTTTATTTGATTTGTTTAGGATTTTTATTTGATTTGTTTAGGATTATTATGACAGCCAATGATTTGTTTAGGATTATTATGATAGCCAATGAGAGGTAGGGAGCCAAGAACATTAAAATTACTAGAGAAGGTAGGAAGAAACCAGCAAAGGTTTAAGACATTTTAAATTACTTTTTTGAAAGAATTATCATTCATTAGTATATAGTTTCAGGGTTGTATTTTGAAATACTTTTTGTATATTGCTTTTAAAAAAATTGTAATGAGAGTGTTTTTTTGTTATGTAGCTCAAAATGCCTCTGAAAAGAAATGTGCTGAGACCAGAGTTATGATCTTCTCTTCATTTCGAGATAGTGTTCAAGAAATTGCGGAAATGCTTTTAAAGCATCAGCCAATTATTAGAGTGATGACTTTCGTTGGCCACGCCTCAGGAAAAAGCATGAAAGGGTTTACCCAGAAGGAACAACTGGAGGTAATTACTTTTGGAGGTGATGAATATTAAAATAATATTGATTAGCTTGTATTTATGCCTCTTTTGTTTTAATTTGTTGGTCAGCTACTTTGTTTTTATGTTTATTTAAGAGAGAGAGAGGGAGTGCACGTGA